CAGATACTTTCAATAACAAACTAAGACTTTGCAAAATACCTCCATCACGACAATAATTGAATTTTTTTTCTCTTACAGAAAAAATCACATTATTGAGGAAAACGAATTTTGAAATTCATGACAATATGATATTGCCTCACACTTTTACTCATCAAAATATTTTTATTACAATGAATTATAATGGTGAGCAAGAAAAAAAACAAGACGGTAAAACAAAAACTACAAAAGATCTATTGCAACATGCTCTCTAAACAAAGTTAGATGAGTTGAAGCAGGGATTGTCCTATTTGTTGTGAAGTTCAAAAAAAAAAAAAAACAATGTACCTCATGCACACATTTTAGTCAAATTACGAGGGAAAAAAAAAATCAAATAATGTCCAAATATTCTTGTAACAACTCAATGATGCAAAAAGTAAGCACATCAAATAAAAAGTTTCAATCAATTTTTGTTATATGGTGATTACTTGCAGATGTCACAATAAATTATATAATTTGACAGTTTCATGAAAGTGACCCTTATGGATCTATAACTATCATTAAACAATTATGAAATTCTTATATCAATCGAAATATTAAGTTACAATATCATTCCATTTAAAAAAAAAAGTATTTCATATTTTCTACATAAATGAAAATATACTAATGACTAATATTATATTTTTCATTATGCAAGATATTCGTGGCACAGGAAACGAGACTCAACAACTCTTGATGTATAAAAATATATTGCATATTGATATTAATACATTCTTACATCAGTAGTATGCAAATAATAGGCAATAGTGGGTTCAATGAATTTGTATTATGAGATGAAATATTAAAAAAAATTGTGTAATTATGTAATTAATTTCATACCTTCAATTGTATTACAAGTATGGATTATGGAAAATTTAAGTAGGAAGTTGATAAAAAAATATTTGTGTAATACTATATATTTAAAGGGCCTACTTATTATTTATTATTTAAGATAAGATTATGATATCAACAATCTAACTATAAATTAATGTTTATAGTTATAAAATTTCGCATTTATCATTTAAATTTTTCAACCAAGCATGTATTCATTTCTCACTTAGTTGTATCGTGAATACAGATCAATTTATCCATACAAGTTTTTATATTTTGGATACATATCACATACTAATTTAAGAGACATACATAGTTAACAGTTGATGAAAAATTACGTATTACGTGTAACGCACATGCCCAATCACTAATTTATTAAAAAGTTTGAAGTAATTGTCTATTGTTTATAGAAATGTATAATAATTTTAAATTTTATTGACAACTTTTTTTAAACACTTGCTAACAGAGTTAAAAAAAAAAAATATATATATATATATATAGAACATGTTATATTAATATTATTAAAATGAGGCCTTCCCCAAATTGGGAGCCAGTCAATGGCGTAAATGGCATTGCACTAGGGCCGTTGACTCTCATTTTTGATTGTGTAAGGTACATAGTATGCCATTTATTTGTATATTTTTGTGACTTAAGTTATGTATTTTTGTGAAAATTTACAGTAGGTTTTATGGGGTTAATTTATGCGATTTTGTGAGATGACGTATGTATGTTTGTGAGAACTTATGTCAAGTTATGATTTATTAAATTTTTATGAATTAACTTATGTGAATTTGGTTTAAATTATGCGATTTTATAAAGTAACTTTTGTACATATGTAAAAGTTTACGCAAATTGCATAAACACGTCCCAAAATGAGAATGCATTGGCTGTTTGATCAACTATTAAAAGTCATAAACATATGTTGGTAATTTTTCATAATAATTAAAAAATAAATTAGATAAAATAAAATAGAGATGATAAAACAATCTTGTTTTAATTCGTAAAAGAGATACAAAACTTGAAAATAAATTACAACATGGAATATAGGTTAAAGATGAATTCCAGATTAAACAAAATTACAAGAGCAGATTATGAATTCCAAATAAAACAAAACACTAGAACAAAATAGTAAAACATGAACATGTGAAATTAACATACAAGAAATAGATTGAATCTGAAAGCTTAAAGAACAAAAGATAAGAGATGCAAACCGAGACTCGTGTTTCACATGGTGTCCTTAAAAAAAATTTGCCACCTCACCAATAGTGTTGGAGATCTGTAGGCGTCTGTCTCACATAATACAACGATTGAATGTCTGCTATAGTAGTAGTCACTGGAGCAGCTCTGGCAATCTTGAACATTAACAGTACTCTCTCTATCTCTCTAATAGAATCAAAGAAGAAGACTAGCAAAAAGAACAAAAAATTCTAAAATTTTAAATCTCACAAAATACATCTTCATTTTTTATCTCAAAAAACCTCTAACCAACCCAACAGAAGATAGCCTCTGTTTATATAAGTAGGAGAGTTCCTAACCATTAAGGCCAACATTAATAGAGTCATCAATCCTATTGTAACTAATGCAATAACTCAAAGTTACAATGATTCACACATGTTGAAAAGATGTGCTAAAATCGAAGAGCCACATTTCTAGGTCACAAAATGGATGGGGATGATGGGCCACCAACCTAGTCCAAACCCAATCCAACCAAGCACATACACATGCACAAGCTTAGGCCTAACCCATACGAAGAATAAATTTGGGAAAATTACCATGTAGTCCTATGTAGGGGATCTATTTCCCTTTTAATCCCAATTTATTTTTAATAGATCAATAGGTCCACAGTTTTTTAAGTTTTATACCCAGAGGTCCCGTTTTTTATTTTCGTATTTTTAAATGACTATATTACCCTTTGTTTTGAGATCTATATATACGTGAAGAATCAAAATTTTGCTCCGTTTAAAAAAAGGAAATCAAATCTTCGTTTCCGCGATCTCGATTTCTCTTCGTTGTGGTGATCTCATTGTGCTGTGTGGTCGATCTCATTGTGCTGTGAGGTGGATCTGGTTGTGCGATTTGAATCTCTGTGTATAGGCGATATCTGCGTACGTTGTCTCTCTCTCTCTCTGGTGATAGATATATGTATGTGTATGTATGTATCTGTCGATACATATATATATATGTCTGTGTGTGTATGTGGTTTGTATTTGTCGATATATATGTATGTATATATAGATAAGCAAATTTGCGTGATATGTGGTTTGTGTTTGGCAAATTTTGTTTGTTTGATTTTGATTTTGTTGATTTTGTTTGTCGTATAGTGTAATGTGTTTTGAAGTTGTATTTTGGAATTGTGAATTCTGGTGTTTTGATACTGATATGTTGTAAGTGTATAATTTTGCAATTTGGAATTGTAAATTGTGCATTGTTGGTATTGATATGTTGTAACTGTGTAATTTTGCAGTTTGGAATCTGTGAACAATTGTTTGTTGGTTTGTGATTTTGTAGTATGGAGCGGTGTTTCATGTTAATGTGCAAATACAGTAATTGTTGTGCTGCTATTAAGATTAGTGACGGATGTAGTTATGATGAAGTTGTTGAGAAAATATGTGCGAAGTTCAAGGAGTTGAGTGTTGGTAACTTTTGTTTGTTTTTCTCTGTTCCTGGATATTCTAATTGTATTGTTGAATGTGATGATGATTTGGGGAATATGCTGTCAATGGTAGGTGGTAGTGGTTGTCATGTTGTTGATGTTATTGTGGGGGATAAGAGAGTTGTGGAGGTTGATGATGGTAATTCTTGTAGGATTGATTCTGTAACTTGTGAGAGTTCTTTTGTGAATGATTGTGATGATGTTGGTGGTTTGTTGCGTAGTTTTTATCCAGAACCAGAGAGAGTTTTGTTGTCTGCTAGTTTGAAGGGGATTATACATAGTGTTGGTCAAGAATTTGAAGGTGGAGTGTCGGGGTTCCGCATTGCATTGGCTAAGTATGCGGTTCAGTGTGGTTTTGCAGTGAATTATTTGAAGAATGATGCAACAAGAGTAACCGCTGAATGTATGATGAAGTCGTCTACGGGTTGTAAATGGTTTGTGCATGGAAGGGTGTTGATGGATTCTGGTGTTTTTTTTTATAATGAAGTTGGATAATGTGCATACTTGTGGGGTTGTTGCTCGTAGATCTTGTAGCAAAATGGTTGGTTCTAGACTTGTGTCTGATATTGTGCAAAATGATATTAGTGATAATCCGTTGACTCGTCCTATTGAAGTTAAAAAAAAGTTGAAGAAGCAATATGGTATAGATGTTTCTTATCGGGTTGCATGGTTAGGAGTTGATAAGGCAAGAGGTGGGTTGTTTGGTGATTTTGCAACTTCTTTTGACCAGCTTCGATGGTACCTTGAGACGGCTATGAGAACGAATCCGGGAAGTGTGTTTGAATTAGATGTGGATGAAAGTAGTGGGTGTTTTCGGAGGTTGTTTGTGGCATTTCATGGATGTTTGTATGGCTTTCAATTTTGTTGTCCGTTGTTGTTTGTTGATGGTACATTTTGAAGGGGCGTTACAAGGGGTATTTGCTTGCAACAACATCAAAGGATGGTAATCAAGGTATGTATTTATTTGCAGTTAGTATTGGTTTAGTTTGTCAGCGTGTTATTGTATTGTGAGTCTGCTAATTTTTGCAGTTTCATGTGGTTTTGTTTGCAGGTTTGTTTCCTTTGGCTTTTGCGATTGTTGACGCTGAAAATCAAGATAATTGGATGTGGTTTTAAGTCAGTTGTTGAAGGCTGTTGGTTCAGGCCGGAGATTGACTTTTGTGTCGGACCGTCAACATGGATTGCTAGACGCTCTTTCAGTGGTTTTCCCCAATGCACATCATGCTTATTGCTTGAATCATTTGAAGAGAAATTTGATTGACAAATTGATGGGACTTCGTACTAACTATAAGCTGTGTTTGATGAAAATATTAGTTAAATGTGCTTATGCGCCAACGGTTGCTTCTTTCCAACATTATATGGAGAAATTGAGGCGTATTGCTGGGAATGGTAGAGTTGATAGTATGTTGGATGGTTTGCAAAATGATAAGTGGGCCAATGCATTTTTTAGAGGAAAACAATATGGTGAGATGCCATCTAATGCTGCCGAGTCTTGCAATAATTGGATTGGTGGGGCCCGTGAGTTGCCTGTTACTTGTATAGTTGATATGATTAGGGTTCAAATCATGACTCAATTGTCGGATAGAAGAGCTGAATCTAGAAGATGGACTACGAAATTGTGTCCAGTTATGGAAAAGAAGTTGGTGGACTCTTTGGAGCTAGCTAAGTCTTGGGATGTGATTGTTGCTAGTGATACTGTGCTTGAGGTTCATTCTTCTATTTCTTTTTATGTTGATATTGGTAGACAGACTTGTTCTTGCCATGAATGGCAATTGAATGGTTTTCCTTGTTGTCATGCTGTGCATGCTTTGCGTAGTAGTGGTAGAAATGTGTATGGTTTCATTGATCATTTTTTTCATGTAGATTGTTTTAGAGAGTCATACAAGGAATCTGTTTATCCAGTGCCTTCAAGTGAGAGATTTGACTTTGATGGTGCCAGTAGTTCGGTTATCAAACCTCCTATAATGAAGAAGCAGCCCGAGCGGAACAAGAAGAAGAGGATACCTTCTAGGGGTGAGAATGTGAAGCAAATCAAGTGTGGGAGGTGCTTGAAATATGGGAATCGCAATAAGAAGACGTGCAAGGCTGCTATTTGAGGCCACAATCTATTCTTTTGGATTTGTATTTGAATTTGAGGAATTATGATAATAAAAAATGTGATACTTGGTATTATGGAAGTAATGAATAAAGTTGGTTGAATTGTTTTTTGTTTGTTGATGTGTTCTTTACTTATTGAAGTTGTTTTGTAACAGTCTGGTTTTGTTTTTTATTTTTATGGAATGCAGAGAAGGTTGTTGAAAATTTCTTATTGAAACAGTATAATATGGAAATGCAGTTCATATTTCATAGCGAGAAAACTGTATAATTTTGCAGTTTTAAGAATTATTAGAAACAACCTGATGAAACCGCATAATTTTACAGTTTTAAAAATTATTAGAAACAAGATGATGAAACTGCAAAATTTTGCAGTTTGAAGAATTATTAGAAACAACCTTTACTGTATGAAAATATATGCAATCACAAACAAGTAGACAAACAATCAGAAGAAGAGCAATAACAACATCAATCATTTTCACCATAACCATAATAACCAGAAAAAGATCATTCCCAAAAGTATATAAAGTACTTGTCACATGTTAAAAAAGAAAAATAAAAAAAAATAAAAAAAGGTACAAAGATATGTTTCCTTGAATATTTGTGTTGTCAAGAAGTTTGTTCATTGTTTCTATGGTTTGGTATGTTTTGTCAACATTTGGTAGTGCTCGAGTTTCCAGGATCGGTTCTCATCATTGAGGAATTGATTGATGATTTGTGCTCGAAATTTGACCCACTCAGTTGGACGAAGTTTTTTCTGCACAGGTTGCCAGTTGAGATATTGGTTGATAACATTGCAGACGGCAATTGCACAATCATTCCTGCAATGTTTGAGATGAAGTTAATTAGTTAGGTGAAACTGCAAAAATTAGCATATTGGAAGATTAGTTTATGGATTTTGTATCTTACGAGTGTGGGGTTTGTTGTGGGCATTCCTCAATTGATGCAATTTCTGTCTCGCACTCTTGAGATGAAAACATGTTTCCCTATTTGCTGAGTAATGCTTTATTTCATCTCAGTTGATGTTGTTGCTACAAAATAGTTAGTGGGTGTTTTTGTTAGTTATAGTGATGAGTTGAGATGTTTGTAAAGGGATGGAACTAAGTATGAAATTTTATTTTAACTTACAATTTGCTTTGCAATTTCAAAGTGCTTGTTATGGCAATCTTTTGCTGGTCTCAACGAGTCATAGTGTCTCCATATTCCATCAGCATTGTCAAAGACCACAATTGTCCAATGGTTGTCGTGGTTGATTGGGAAATGGATATATCTGTTTTTCATTGCTTCTGGAAAATGGCTGTCCATCAGTTTTTCTCTCAGTGCTTGATCTTGGTTTTGTAGTGAAGTCTGTAAGTTATATATATGTTTGAAATATGTTATAAAACTATGTAGTAATACATGTTGAGAAAGTAGAAAATTTTACAGTTGTAAGGTATGTTAAATTTTGCTTACATTGATGAGTGTTGAGAAAACGTAAGATCTTCCTGCATATGGATTGCTTGCAAAGACTAGATCGTTTTTCTCAAATTCTTCAATGGTTGGTTGGAGTGCTAATTGCTTTTCTGAGTAGGCATCAATGACCTGAAACATGTTATATATGAGAATGTGTTAGGTTTGTGGAATAGGTTATTGAATATGTACAGAAACTGTAAAATTGTGCAGTTGGAGACCTACATTCCCATATAAGGGTTCCCTGTTGGTCAATCTGCATATATCTGAAAAGTATACGCAGTTTTCATCTTCGCTGCCAGACCAGACACAAGCACTTGATTGTGTGTTGTTGATGAGTTGAATTTGGTCTTGGTCTTTTTTGGATAGGCTATGCCAAACCTTGTTTGTTTTGCGGCATGAAATGGCGAGTGGCTTGTTTGGGATTGATTCTTCCTGGAAATCATCATCACTTTCCAATACTTGAAGTTTTGTCTTCTTTTGATTGGCATGCTCTTTTGGGTTTGTTTCAGCAGCAACTGCTTTCTCTTGGCCAATATGTTCTTGCATCTTTTCTTTCTGCTGTTGTGTTACTTCATGAGCACCCTCTTTTTTGTTGTCATTCTTCTTCTCTTTTTCTTCATCGGTACCCTGTGTTGGTTTGGGTACATCAGCAGCAGTTTGTGTCTTGTTTCTTGCATCTTCTTTGGGTTTGGTCATTGGTTGGTATTCAAAATCTGGGTCATGTGCTTGTTTTCTTGATTTTTGTTTGATTCTCTTGACCATGGATCTTTGTCGGGGACTGCCAGTTTTTTTAGTGGACATTTCCTTCAATTGATCTTCTTTTTTACGCAATTCAGCCATGAATTTTTGTTCCATTTCTTGCATTTGTGCTCTCATGGCTGATATGAGCTTGTCCTTGTCGTCCTCTTTGGTTGGTGTTTGTGGTTGGTCATGACCTATAAAAATGTTGGATTGTGTTTTGGTTAGTTTAATGAAATTTTGCAGTATGATTTAGTATTAGACAATAGTTTACCTTGGGCATGAAATATCTCAGATTTCTCTTGCTGTTCTTCTTGTTGGTTTGTCAGTTCTTGTTCATTGACTTCTTCTTGTTGGTTTGTTTGTTGTTCTTCTTGTTCTTGTGTTTGGTCTTCTTCTTCATCAAGGTCTTCTTGTTGATCACCTTTTGTTTGTTGTCTTTCTTCTGCTTTGTCATTGTCTTGTTGTTCATCAGGTTCTTCTTCTTCAGTTTCAGTTTCTTCTTCTTCTTCAGTTTCTTCTTCAGTTTCAGTTTCTTCTTCTTCTTCAGTTTCTTCTTCATCAGTTTTTTCTTCATCAGTCACTTGATTTTTTTCATCATCACTCTTTTCTTCTTGTTCATCACTTTCTGGTTCTTCTTGTGGTTTTTGCTTTCTTTTTTTTTTTTTTTTTGTTGTTGTTGTTCTTCTTGTTCTGATTGTGATTCTGATTCTGAATGATGTTCTTCTTCGAGAAAGTCATCCTCATCACTATCTAGAAGTCTTCTTTTTTTTTTTGTTGCTTTTGTTTTCTTTTTTTGCTTATTGTCCTTTTTGTGATCTTGTTTCTTTGCTGAAGAGTCTGTTGATGTGCTTTGATTGATATGCAATAACTGTATTTCTTGTTCAGTTGGGGTTAAAGCACTTTGGTTAACCTGCATTGGAACAATGTGGTATATATCAGTAATACTGTAAATTTGGTCAGTTTCATAAGATGAGTTGTACTGTGAGTAATGTGGGTTAAGTGTCGAAATATGTTTTTTGAAACTGAAAAATGTTACAGTTTCATAACATGAGTGATGTTAAAGAAGTGTGTGCTTTGAAACTGAAAATTTTCACAGTTTCATAATATGATTTGTACTACAATGAATATGAAAGGAGTGTTGAATAGATTTGTGCTATGATAGTATAGAAGAGTTTGAATACCTTTTCAAAGTGAGCAAGGCTGATGTGTTTCCACTCGGAGTACATTTTGCCAAGGTTCCATTTCATAAACCTTGGGAAGCCTTTTTTGTTGGATGGTCGGAGGAGTTTACTGTGCTCACAGTACCAGTATTGTAAAAAAAAAAAGTTGAAATATGTTAGATAGTTAGAAATAGGTGGATGTCTGATATTTTTGTGTGAAGTAGTTGAGTAATGTATTTACCAAGAGTAACATGATGCATCCAGTGACATGCCTTGGGTTGTTGTTTGCATTTGCCATTGAATTCATCAGTGTGTCTTTTATTGCCTCAACCCAATTGTATTTCTTGATGTTGTTGAGATTGTCAACATAGTTGAGGAAACTCCAACTGAGTGTATGGCCTGTTGTGGGCATGAGAAGTTGCAAGCACAAGTAAAGGGTGATTACCCTTGCAAGATCTTGACGATCATTGGTTGATTTTCCTTTTTTTGTTTGTTGAAACATTTGGTCAAAGACTTGCCATCCAATCTCTTGACTGATTTGCATCTTCGTTTGTAAAATGGAAGCTCAAAATCCTTTGGTCTTGCATAGGATTTGGTGGTGATGCTGTCTTCTCCACAGTCGATACCAAAAAAGAGCTTGACATCACTGCTTCTGAGTTTCATTTCCTTTTTGCCAAGTACAAATGATTTTTTTCTTTTGTTGTAGAGTGTTGTCATTTCTGCTACAATGGAATTGTAGCATCTGCACCAAGAGGCCTTCAGTTGTGTTGAGGAGAGAGCATTTATAAGGGGCCAAAAAGGGGTTTTTTGCAGCTCTGTCTGTTGGGCTTTTGTAAATTTGACCTCCTTCAACAGTTTGATTACCGTTACGATGTTGGAACGATAATTAAATTGTTGGACTCTCTTTGCAGGGACTGCTGCTTTTTTTTTTCTTTTGATGCCTTGGTTTTTGTTTTGGGAGTTGATTGGCTTTCTTGGAGCTTTCTTTTTTTGGTTGGAGGAGCTTCTTGTTTTTTTGTTGGCTTTCTTTTTTTTGTTTTTGTTATGGTTGGAGGTGTGGTTGGTGTTTGTTGTGTGGGTGGGGTCTGTGGTGTAGTTCTTGGGCTTTTTCTTGTAGGTAGTGTGGTTGTTTTGTGGGTTTTTTGGTGGGGTCTGTAGTGTTTGGTTGTTTTTGGTTGTGGTGGTTGGGTTTTTTGTGGAGGGAGAGATTCAAAAGGGGAGATGGTTAAATCCCTGATTGGATTTGTGGGCATACGGGTTTGTTTCTTCCAATATCTTCCAACAGCTATTTCTGAAAAAATGAAAGTGACAGCAGGGTATGAGTAATATAGTGACAAAACTGTATAATTTTGAAGTTTTATATGCAGTTTAATATGAAGTTATATGTATTTTGTTGGTAAGAGTTACGAAACTGTATAATTTGACAGTTTGATTTGCACTTTATAATAAGTTAGCTATTTGTTTTGAGTAGTGGTTAAACTGTGTAATTTTGCAGTTTCATTTGCAGTTTGAATAAATTTAGATATGTTACTTGTATAGTGATGAAATGAAACACTATGATGTTGCAGTTTTTATAAGGAAACAATATGAACAATAGGAACAACCCATTGTATTTTGTAAAAAGCAAGAATAACAACAAGAAGATTAAAAATTCAAAAATAAGAATAAGAGAAGCCAATATTGAACAATAAGAATAAGAATAAGGAGTTGAATGTGTAAAAACAGGGATTTATGTGTAAAAACAGTGTTCAGAATGTTGAAAAA